GTCTCCTAGTAAGATTCTGGGTTTGGGAAGTTGCTCCATCAAGTTGTTTATTTCTGTTGTGTTTATTGGTTCCTGTGGGGGTATATAAATGGAAAGAATTGTGATGGTTTTATCTAGTGTCACTTGTGTTGCTATTGCTTGTAATTTAGTTTTAATGTGTACTTTACTTTGGCGGTATGTCATTTCTGATCAATATTGACACTCCTCCATTAGCTCTATGTCCTGTATTGTGATTATAGTGGTATTGTTTATAATTTTTAATTTTTAAGTTGGTATTTTCTTGTAAAAAAGTTTCCTGTAAGCAGATGACGGCTGGATACAGTAGTGACATAAGTATGAGTAGGTCATTGTAATTTGATTTTATTCCACGACAGTTCCATTGCAGGATCTTATGTGCCATGATTATATTTTCATTTTTTGGGAGTAAAGTTACCTACTAGGTTGGTATCATTTGTCCTCTCCAATTTTTTTTTCATCTCTTGAGTTTTTAGAAGCTTTGTCTTCAACTGCTTGTGGTGTCCTTGATCAGATTTTTGATTTTGTTTTGAATTTTGTTTATTATCTTTCTCTTCTATTTCTATATATTCCATAGGTTCAAATTTATTTTCATTTGATATACTGATTCTCGATTTTGAGTTAGATCTTGATCGAGTGCTTTCTTGCTCTGTTGTCACTTTTTTTTTTTTTTGTTTATTTTTCATTTTTTAGTTTGGGTTTGGAAAAGAAGAGGGTTCGCTGGAGTTTTGTTCTGTGTTTTTTTCTTTCCAAAGTTTTTGCCTCCTTCTGGGTTTATTCCATTTGATCTGGGTTGTTGAGTTTTATTTTGATCCGATTTAAGTTCGGTTAAAAGGTTTTAATTCTTCAAGGAAAGCTTTTAATTCCTTACATAGATTTGTTATTTCAATTGAACCTTTTATTTTATCTTCATTGTTTATTTTATTTGCTTTTTGTGCCATGGAAGCATATGTGTTTTCTTTTATATTATTTATAACTTCCTTTCGTGCTTCTATGTAAGATATATTTTTTTTGTATTTTATTCTAATTATTTCTTTCTCCTGTTTATATATATTGCATTGTTTTGAGAGGGCAGAGTGGTTTCCCAAACAGTTTGAGCATAGGCTCTCATTTGGGCAGTTCTCTTCTTTGTGTTCTGGTTCCTTCTCACTACATTTCCCACATATTTTTTATTTCTACAGGAATCTCTGTGATGCCCAAATTTGTGGCATTTATAGCATTGTAGAGGGTTTGGTACATATTGTTCTACTTTTATACTTTCATATCCAATTTTTATTGAAGTTGGAATTTGGGGGGAGTTGAACGTTATAATGTAGGTATTAGTTTGTATCTCAGCTCCATTTTTTTTAATTGTTATTCTTTTAACATTTGTAACTCCTTGAGTTTGGAGTTCTATTTTTATTTCCTCTAGAGTGCACAAGGAGAGCTCCTTACTTTTTACTACCCCTTTGAGTAATTTAGGGTTTGGTGTGGGTAGGTTTTTATTTCTATCTCTTGTAGTTTTTTTGTCTGATCAATGTGTCCGCATATATTTTTTTTCTACTTCTATTAGTATTGTTCCATTTTGTAATTTTTTAACCTTTTTTGGTATTATGATATTTGTTATTGCTTTTTGTATTTTAAACGGAGAAATTTCTGATAATGATTTTTGGCTTATTGCTTGAGTACAATAAACCGTGGGAAGTTTTCACTTTCATTCTCTGTTTCTGAGTCGTTATCCACATGTGGTCTCTTGGAAGATTTCTTTTTTTCCATTGATTGTTTTTATTTTTGTTCATCATTCTCGCTCCCTACCCACCACGGAGTCCAGATTGGGACAGGTCAAGAGGGAAACCCATTCGCCATGCCATGTCGGGTCTACGTGAATGATATACACTTTTTGGGAGGAGTCTTTGAGCACGCATGTTCCTTTGTTTCCGTTTTCCAAGTATTACGGCTGTGAAGGTTTAGCAAGTGTGTCAGATACTTTTTTCCCCCAAATTGATTGACCCTCAGCCACCGCCTTCCATCACATATTTAGGGTTAAGTGTTAGTTTTGGTTGGGAAGAGGAGTGTCAGTTATAGGTTTGGGTTGGATTATATATGATGGGGCTTGACATGACCAGCCGATTGATCGGATCGGGCCCCTCCGACCGCCCGTCTAGCCCAGGTAAGGGCCAAAGTGGTGTGTTACAAGATTGTGACCGCTTTACACCTGGGTTACAACCTGCTCAACCACCAGGATCCCGTCCCCAGACATTACGGGTCGCCACCCACGGCCAACAGGTGGCCCCATTGAGGGACTTTTACCCTCTGCAGGGGGGCAGTCGGCGTATTCTGATGCCCCACCGACCGGGCGGCAGTATAGTAGGGTCAGTTTGGAACCATCTATGAAAAAAAGAGCACCATGAGGCAATTCATTCCACCAGAAATTTGGAAATGTCATTCTGTACTGCTTGGCATTCATGTCAGAAGCTCCGATTTCAAAGGGTTTCAGTGTCAATCTGAGGACTGCAGAGGATTCAGAAAAAGTTGGATGAGTCTCATTGTGATTATAAAGGTACAGCAGCTCAGAAAACTCACTCTGATCATTCTGATAAGAAAAGAACTCTCAAATTTGTTGGTGACATCCAGTCCATTATTGAAAATGATCCCTCCAAGTCGATCGGGTCCATAGCCAGGGAGGTAGTGCTGCCCTGGGTCAAGAGGGTGGCTACTAGAAGTCCCTGTGTTTGGCAACAGGACTCTGCACCATGCCACACAAGCAGGAGAACCCAGTTATGGCTGTCAGACAATTTCTGCGACTATATCTACCTTACATCTGGCCAATTAACTCCCCAGACTGCAACCCTCTTAATTATTATCTGTGGAGCACAGTTGTGCAAGAGACCAACAAAACTCTTTGTAACACCAAAGATGAACTGAAGGCAAAGATTATAACAGCATTCACCAGTTTAAACAAGGAGACCATCTAGAAGTGTTGCAAGAGATTCCAAAGTCACTTGGAGGCCATGGATGAAGCCAATGGCGATTTTATTGAATGAATTTACTCTTTGGTATTTCAAGATATTTTTGTGTAAGTTTGGTAAATATATCTGTTACAGTGAGATGTCAGTGTTATTTTCTTTTTTGCTTAATTTAGACGACAATTTATCCATCGCACGCTGTATGTATGTATGTATGTATGTATGTATGTATGTATGTGTTATATATAGGACACTCCCGTCGATTTCAATGTATGAGGGTAAGCAACTCAATTCTTAGAACCAGACTACCTGCACATATGATTTGATTATAGTGGTGAAGGCTTGTGCAAAACTGACCACACATTTTGGAAGAACTGAATACAGAGAATTGGTGCACAGTGTACGACAAGGTTCCCAAACGACCTTCATCAGGTTTTGAATTCAGAGTTGTCGTCCTCCAAGACTGGTTACCGCCCAAGGCTTATAGGACTCAATCTGTCTTGCTATTTACCCATTTGCTGCAGGGAGAAGAGTTGGATTCATACTTTCCCCAAGGGTATTAGCATTTAATTGAAGGTAATGAACTCAATTGGAATTCGAACTTTGCTCTCCAATTTCTCAGTCTGAGCCACTATCTATTACTCCATGATATACAATATATATATATATATATATATATATATATATATATATATAAAAGACATTTTTATGTTTATACATTCTTTTTATAGATACATATATTTAAGTAAATGCTCTGTTTATAATAAACAGTATTAAGCAACATTTACTGGCCTGAATGTCCGAGGAATTTTCATAGAAAATATTCATCCTCCGAAATGGACAAAGTCTGACAATTATATTTAAGACATTTTTGTGTTTATACATTCTTTTTATAGATACAAATATTTAAGTAAATGCTCTGTTTATAATAAACAGTATTAAACAACATTTACCGGCTTGAATGTTAGAAATTTTCTGACATTATTTGTTTACATTTGGATACACCATGAGCAGATATGAATGTACGTGAGAGAATCATGGAAGATTGTCATTTAAAGACAGTAAAATCGACCTTGCTAACCGAACACTCCTCTGTGGCCCAATTGGTTAAAGACACATCTGGCTATATGACGGTTCCATATAGGATACAGGTTTGATTCCTGTCAGAAGATGAATATTTTCTATAAAAATTTCTCAGACATTCAGGCCGGTAAGTGTTATTTAATACTGTTTATTATAAACAGAGCATTTACTTAAATATTTGTATCTATAAAAAGAATGTATAAACATAAAAATGTCTTAAATATAATTGTCGAACTTTGTCCATTTCATAATATATATATATTATTTTGAAAATGATAATTTACATGAAATTTATATTCACATTTCATTTTTAATAGTTTCATGAGTAGTTGTGATATATGCAACCAATTTACTTACAACATTAAATATAACTTTATCAAATTTTGCTATTTGTTCTTGTAGTTCATGTATCCAGTAAAACATCATTGATTGATTTTTTTCAGTATGATGTTAGCCCTATTTATATTGTACATTCTTCAAAAAAGCACTTTTAATACACATTGCCAGTGCTGGTGATTGCAGCAGAGACACTGATGTTATGTTTGTATTCCAGGTACTAATTATAAGTTAAATACATCTTCTGTCCATGTTGGATTGCCCCCTCCCCAAACGTTACAAAACAATGGATTTGGGAGTGCAAAACACTTATTAGTTAAGCTAATAATAGTATTATTTTAATGACATTGATAAATTATCTATCATTTAATATTGTCTATCATATTTCCCATTACATCTTTTTATCTTATAGATTGTAAACTTAAATTAATTTCTTTTCTTTTTTTCTTGCTGTTTGCTAAAATATGTAGCTTGCCCTGTGATGTGATCTGTTGTCCTAGACAACAAATGAACTTCACACTTATAATGATTTTTTTAAATATAATTTTGTTTTAATTTTGAGGAAATTTTTTTTAGTTTTTTTATGTTTATTTCATTAATCTTTCTCCTTTGCATGTCTAGGGACACCGTTTTTTTCATGTAAGTTCAAAAACACCCCCTCCATCTCTGCTATCCATTTGTGTTTGTTATACTTACTCTATCAGCATGAAAAAAAAAACTTATTGCATGTACTTAACCTATAGACTCCTTCATTTTGCAGTATCTGTTATATGTGGTGTCTACATATCTCTGTTGATTCACCATTTATATGTATACACTAAGCATAACAGCAAATTTGTGAAAGGCTTTGATAGTAAATTGCAGTAAATTCTTCTGAAATATCTACAAATCATGTATTGCTTTTTGCTTTTAATTCAATGTTCCATGCCTCTGTTTGCCATGAAATTTTTCCCTTTTGTTTCTACTGTTACTCTCATCTGAAATGTGCACAAATCATTCAGTTTGTATTCTACTGATTTCCTTTTGCTGTCTACTTCCATTTTGTTGGTTATATCCACTCACACAGATTTTTGGTGTATCTTAATCCTTCCTTTTATCATTTAATGAATTACAGCTTAATAAAAAACTAATGACAAATACCAAATTTTGCTTTTAAAAAAAAATCAACGATATTGTAATACTTTCTGTTCATCATCAGTCTTATTTAGTTAATTGCCATGAAATTATTTCTTAATGCAATAAAAATGTAAATATTTATATTTATTGCATTATATTTCTGTTGTTTTCAGAATTACAAAAAAATTTTCACTACAGAAAAATGGAGCCATGTTTCCCTACTATCTAAAATGGATTCTTTATTGCACTTTACTGAATGAATAAAAAATATATATATAAAAAAAATTCCCCTGTGATTATAAGAATTAATATCAAGAACTCTGAGAAAAGATTGAATAGACCAAATGAACAAATATTTAAACATTTACTTTTATTTTCTTTCTAATATAATAAAATCTTTTATTTTAAAAAAAGTCTCTTCTGCTAAAACTCTTCTTCATTGATTATAAAATGTGAAGTAATTTGTGATCTGCTTGTTTATGGCATTCATATCTGGTTTCACATTTAGAAACCATTTGGCAAGAGCAACAATTCAGTTTCACATTTAGCAAGAAAATATTTGAATTTGGGACTTTTTTACTGGCCTGCCAAACAAAAACTAAATGAAAATAATAATGGAAACTAATTGCTAAAAAAATAAAACATGCATGTTGTGTCACAAAAATCTTTGATTTTTTTTATTTTTAAGGATTTATTTCTCTTATTTTGTTAATTCATCTGTTCATTCACCATGTGCTCTTAGTTATTAGAAAAAGATATAAAGAAGTTAATCTCCACGGAATCATTTAATCTAATCTAAATGTCATTATAAAAAAAAAACATACCAAGTTAAAATTTCAAGAAACTGGTTCTTTCCCAATTTCACAAATGAATGAAAAAGGTGTTGATCTTTTAAAATAACAATGGTGAGTCAACCAAAAACCAAAACAAATGAGGCTTATTTTGTCTATGTACTTCTCTTTTTTTCTACATTTCAAATATACCCACAACTTGTGTATTCTCAGGGTAATTAGTTACCACCGTTTTTTACTTTTCTTCTCTTCTTCTTTTTTTTTTTTTTTTTAAGAAATTTATCATAATTTAACCTATTTCAATGTAACTCCGTGGACAACACTGTTGTCTCCCTTGTTTTATAACCACATTTTGATTCTTTATACTGCTTCAGTCCTATTGAACAATTTTATACCTTGTAAAAACTATAATAGAAACATTGTGTACATATCAACATTATATGGGTGTATGTATATTTACAGGTAGTTTCTCAGTGTATGTAGGAGGAGAAAGAGAGTAATTTATAATTATAGAACTAAGTGATTTCTTTTTTTTTCTTTAGAATTATAGATCTGTGTATATATGTGTTACTGTCATTATGTGTATGATATGTAAATTTTAGTATCTGTGTCATTTATTTGTAAATTTATCTATTATTGAATCGTATATTTCATTCTCCTCAAAAATTCTTTATTTTTGTAACTTAAGAATCATATAGCTTTTTTCTCTCACCCTGCAACAAGTATTTTTTTGGTGGGGTATGGGGTTCTAAACCCTCTACCTCATGCTTATTAAGAGCACCCCATTTATTCATTACCCCCCCCCTCCGAGTTAGGCACCCAAGATTATGTAACTGATATTTTATGATATTTCTGTGCCTAACAGTCTTCAACTTTGCAATACAGATTTATAAATTTTGGTATGTTTTTCAAGAAGTCACTTAGTAACAAAATTTTGCATGAATATATTTACATTTTTATTAATTGTTTTTTTTTTTTTTAAGAATAGTTTATCAGCTTAAATATTTCTATATTTGGCAACTGATATTTTTTGAAAAATGTTATTTAACTTCAAAATAGAAGAAATATATGAAGGTGTGCTGAAAAGTATTCAACCCAACCCACTTCACTTCCAAAAATTTGAGCATTATTGTTATTTTATATTGTAAAATACCAAATTACAATATCTTTGCATTTATTTTTGAATTTGTTTCAAATAATTGACTGACCCATGTCAACAAAAAGTGAAGTTTTCAAATGTTGATCATGGAATTTCTGTTCTTCCAATAAGGAGAAATCGGTGAGTGTATGATGCAAATATTAAGTAACAAGTGCTGATTATACTCAACTGTGTGAAGAGGGTATACCAACTTGCAGCGTGAAGATTTTGAGATACAAGATACAGTGTGGTCTGAGAGGCATTCTGCAGTGTCAATTCTTTAAATTGTTGATCATGTTCCCGACCTAATTTTAGTCAATAAATTTCTGCCAAAAAATGACTGATATTAGATATTCAATAAATACATGGATTCATGATCAATTGAGTATACAGAAGTTGTCAGCCAAGTGAGTACCAAAATGTTTGAATGTTGACCAGGAATTATATTGATTGGACACTCACAAGTTGATTTTGCAGCATTTTCAGCAATCTAGAGATGTTTTGGAAAGATTTATAACTGATGATAAACCATGGTTATACTATTATGATACACAGTACAAACAATCTATGCAGTAGTAACAAAAACTTAAAAACCCAAAAGTCAGCACAAACAATCATGGCTACTTGTCTTTTGGTAATGAAAATATTTTGATGACTATGTTTTTAGAAGAGCCAAACAGTTAATGCAGGATATTGTTCTAACTTGAGCTGATTAACACATATTCATTTGGCATGGGTTTAAACTGAAAATTTTTCCATATATTATGATCATTTTCATTAAGTTTATATTGTCTTGAATTCAGATAAAAACTTGGAAAATTTCCAACATATTCTAGTGAAATTTTCACTTTCCAAAATTAAAGTTTATTGTTATAGTAGTTTAAATATATGTGGTTGGGATAGTATCAGTTTAAACAAAGCTAAGAGAATATGAATTAAAGTATTGAATGAATGTGGGCAAACAAAGGAAGCTGAAGAAAATGTTTTCTTGTTTTCTTTCTTTCCTCTCTTCTCTTTCTCCTCCCCTCTCCTTCTTCTCTTTTTCTTTTCTTTTTTCTTCTCTTTTTCTTTTTTCTTCTCTTTTTCTTTTTTCTTCTCTTTTTCTTTTTTCTTCTCTTTTTCTTTTTTCTTCTCTTTTTCTTTTTTCTTCTCTTTCTTTTTTCTTCTCTTTTTCTTTTCTCTCTTTTTCTTCTCTTTTTCTTTTCTTTTTTCTTCTCTTTTTCTTTTCTTTTTTCTTCTCTTTTTCTTTTCTCTCTTTTTCTTCTCTTTTTCTTTTCTCTCTTTTTCTTCTCTTTTTCTTTTCTCTCTTTTTCTTCTCTTTTTCTTTTCTCTCTTTTTCTTTTCTCTCTTTTTCTTTTCTCTCTTTTTTTCTCTTTTCTTTTCTCTCTTTTCTTTTCTCTCTTTTCTTTTCTCTCTTTTCTTTTCTCTCTTTTCTTTTCTCTCTTTTCTTTTCTCTCTTTTCTTTTCTCTTTTTCTTTTCTCTCTTTTCTTTTCTCTCTTTTTCTTTTCTCTCTTTTTCTTCTCTTTTTCTTTTCTCTCTTTTTCTTCTCTTTTTCTTTTCTCTCTTTTTCTTTTCTCTCTTTTTCTTTTCTCTCTTTTTCTTTTCTCTCTTTTTCTTTTCTTTTTTTCTTTTCTCTCTTTTTCTTTTCTTTTTTTCTTTTTTCTCTTTTCTTCAAGGACAGTGTACCAGCTGACAAGTATAACAAGATGGTGGATGTTTTAAACAATATGGATTTTGAGTGCATAAACCATCCACCCTACTGCCTAAATCTTGCTTTATTTCCTGTTTTCAAACTTTAAAAGGAGTTCGAAAGAGATAAACTTTTTGAATGATTCATATTAGATAGGAGTAGCAAAGCAGTATTTCAATAACCAAACATCAAAATTGTGGATGGGAGGGACAAAGAAACTTGCAAAATAATGAACCAGTTATGTTGAAATGCATTGAGAACATCTACAATATATACATTTTGTGGCTCTAAGACAATTCCCTTCATGTTTGGGCTGAAAACTTATTGAGTGAATTTATTCTTCCCTTATTGACCTTTCTTATTCTCTGTTCTCCTTTAGTTTTAATAACAAATATTATCTCATATTATCAGTAATGGTTTTAACTTTTGCTTATAAATAAATGCCACTGAAAATTTCCATTTAAAAAAAGTACTTAAAACACTTGTGTTTATATAGATTATTCTTAATATTTTTCTAAAGTATAATGAAAAACAAACTATATTAGTATGTATGTCTTACTTATAATTTAGTAGGAGGGTTGCTAGATTTCACAAATAAAACTACAGGTTACTCTGTTCAAATTTAAATTCAAATTATTTTAAATATTTTTTAGTATATAAGTTAGTCAAAAAGTGTTATCTTAATTTACCTATGTCTATGTAAATTATTTAAATTTCAAATGATTTCTAATTGTCTTGTATTTTTATTTGGTAAATCTAGTAATTCTAGTTAGTACTTTCAGCACCTCTGCATAGATAAGTGAGCTAGTCTAGTTGACCATTAGTACAAAGTAGTTTGTTCCTCACTGGGCGCCCAATGTTTATGCTTTTATACAAAAACTAAGCTGAATTAAAAAAAAAATACAATAAACAGGTACAAACCTAGTTAGTTTAAAGTATACATTTAGTGATGTAAATATTGAAACAGTTGCTATTATATAGTTGTTCAGAATGAAGTTAAATATAGC